TCATTCTCAATGGGGAAGCCCTGGGAGCCTTTCCCCTAAGATCAGGAACAAGACAGGATGTCCACTCTCACCACTGCTATTCAACATAGTAATGGAAATCCTAGCCTCAGCAATCAGACAACAAAAAGAAATAAAAGGCATTCAAACTGGCAAAGAAGAAGTCAAACTCTCCCTCTTCGCAAATGATATGATACTGTACCTAGAAAACCCAAAAGACCCCACCCCAAGATTGCTAGAACTCATACAGCAATTTGGCAGTGTGGCAGGATACAAAATCAATGCCCAGAAGTCAGTGGCACTTCTCTACACTCACAATGAGACTGAAGAAGGAGAAATTAAGGAGTCAATCCCATTTACAACTGCACCCAAAAGCATAAGATACCTAGGAATAAACCTAACCAAAGAGGTAAAGGATCTATACTCTAAGAACTACAGAACACTTCTGAAAGAAATTGAGGAAGACACAAAGAGATGGAAAAATATTCCATGCTCATGGATTGGAAGAATGAATATTGCGAAAATGTCCATGCTACCCAGGGCAATTTACACGTTTAATGCAATCCCTATCAAAATACCATGGGCTTTCTTCAGAGAGTTGGAACAAATTACCTTAAGATTTGTGTGGAATCAGAAAAGACCCCGAATAGCCAGGGGAATTTTAAAAAAGAAAACCATATCTGGGGGCATCACAATGCCAGATTTCAGGTTGTACTACAAAGCTGTGGTCATCAAGACAGTGTGGTACTGGCACAAAAACAGACACATAGATCAATGGAACAAAATAGAGTATCCAGAAGTGGACCCTCAACTTTATGGCCAACTAATATTCGACAAAGCAGGAAAGACTGGAAAAAGTCTTTTTCAATAAGACTTTATTGGAAAAAGACAGTCTTTTCAATAAATGGTGCTGGGAGCATTGGACATACACATGCAGAAGAATGAAACTAGAACATTTTCTTACACCATACACATAGATAAACTCAAAATGGATGAAATATCTAAATGGGAGACAAGATTCCATCAAAATCCTAGAGGAGAACACAGGCAACACCCTTTTTGAACTTGGCCACAGTAACTTCTTGCAAGATACAGCCATGAAGGCAAAAGAAACAAAAGCAAAAATGAACTGTTGGGACTTAGAAGCTTTTTCACAGCAAAGGATACAGTCAACAAAACTCAAAGACAACCTACAGAATGGGAGAAGATATTTGCAAATGACATATCAGATAAAGGGCTAGTTTCCAAGATCTATAAAGACTTAATGAACTCAACACCAAAGAAACAAACCATCCAATCATGAAATAGGCAAAAGACATGAACAGAAATTTCACCAAGGAATACATAGACATGGCCAACAAGCACATGACAAATGCTCCACATCACTTGCCATCAGGGAAATACAAATCAAAACCACAATGAGATACCACCTCACACCAGTGAGAATGGGGAAAATTAACAAGGCAGGAAACCACAAATGTTGGGAGAGGATGCGGAGAAAAGGGAACCCTCTTGCACTGTTGGTGGGAATGTGAACTGGTGCAGCCACTCTGAAAAACTGTGTGGAGGTTCCTCAAAGAGTTAAAAATAGACCTGCCCTACGACCCAGCAATTGCACTGTTGGGGATTTACCCCAAAGATTCAGATGCAGTGAAACACCGGGACACCTGCACCCCGATGTTTCTAGCAGCCATGTCCACAATAGCCAAACTGTGGAAGGAGCCTCGGTGTCCATCGAATGATGAATGGATAAAGAAGATGTGGTTTATGTATACAATGGAATATTCCTCAGCCATTAGAAACGACAAATACCCACCATTTGCTTCAACGTGGATGGAACTGGAGGGTATTATGCTGAGTGAAGTAAGTCAATTGGAGAAGGACAAACATTATATGGGCTCATTCATTTGGGGAATATAAATAATAGTGAAAGGGAATATAAAGGAAGGGAGAAGAAATGTGTGGGAAGTGTCAGAAGGGGAGACAGAACATGAAGACTCCTAACTCTGGGAAACGAACTAGGGGTGGTGGAAGGGGAGGAGGGCAGGGGGTGGGGGTGAATGGGTGACGGGCACTGAAGGGGGCACTTGATGGGATGAGCACTGGGTGTTATTCTGTATGTTGGCAAATTGAACACCTATAGAAATAAATTTATTATTAAAATTTAAAAAATGATTAGTGATTTCTTCATAAGTGTAGATAATTTAAGAAAAGGAATGATAAACAGAGTTCAGCAGAGTGATCACCTCTGAAAAGGAGTCATAGTAATGGGATTGGAGAGAGGCACAGAAGTTGACACAAATGTCTTAGTATTATTCTAGGCCAGTCCTGTCCAATAGAAATCTAATGCCAGCCACATAATTTAAGATGTTCTCATTAAAAGAGTAAAAAGAAATAAATTAATTTTAGTAGTATACTTCTACGTAGCCCAAAATGTTCAAACTATCATTTCAATATACAATCAAAAACGTTAATGAGGGGATCCCTGGGTGGCTCAGCGGTTTGGCGCCTGCCTTTGGCCCAGGGCACGATCCTGGAGTCCCAGATCGAGTCCCACATCAGGCTCCCTGCGTGGAGCCTGCTTCTCCCTCCTCCTGTGTCTCTGCCTCTTTCTCCCTCTCTTTCTCTCTCTGTCTATCATAAATAAATAAATAAATCTTAAAAAAAATAATAAAGTTGATTTAAAAAAAACATTAATGAGGTATTTTCATATTTTGTGCTGTCTTTATTTTTTTTTTAATTTATTTATGGTAGACACACAGAGGAGAGGCAGAAGCAGGCTCTATGCAGGGAGCCACTGGGCGAAAGGCAGGCATTAAACCACTGAGCCACCCAGGGATCCCCTTTCTGCTGTCTTTAAATCGAGTGTATATTTTACATTTACAGCACGTCTCAGTTTGTATGGTAAATTTTCACTGGACATACTATACTTAAGTCTGTACTTGGATTTCATAAAACTTACAACTGAAAAAAGAAATTCACAAAGCCAAGTTGTCCCAAACATGCTTTTTAAAAAATATATTTTATTTATTTATTCATGACAGACACACAGAGAGAGGCATAGACAGAAGCAGCCTCCCCTAAAGGAGCCTGATTGAGGACTGAGATCCCAGGAGCCCAAGGTGACCGCCTGAGCCAAAGGCAACTGCTCAATTACTAGGTCACCCAGGCACCCCTGCCCCCAAACATACTTATTTTAACAATAACAATGTAGAATCCTCTTTCAAATTTAAATTTTAAATAGAATTGAAAATTCACTTCCTCAAGCTTGTGAGCACATTTGAAGTACTAAATACCACCTGTAGGTAGTGCAATAAAATACAAGTGCAATTGCACCGGACAGTGCAATTCTAGATTTTGAGTGAACTATTCAAGTGTTCGTTGAAATATTGTGCTCCAAAATTTTTATACTTGCATATCTTCTCAAACTCAGTAAGAACACCTGTCCTTTGCACCAGATGGCGACACTTTATCTTCCAAGGCTGTTCAAAACAGCCCAGGGCAAAGGGCAGTTACTGACTCTGTAGGATAATAAGAAAGTTATTTTGGTCTTTGTCCCTAGTTCCTCACACAGCTTCTGAGTCCCTTGGAAGTTCTTGGGGGCCAGGAGCATCTTTTGTTCTAACAAGGCCATGATAGGTTTCCGAGACAGCTTTAGAATGGGACTAGTAGCTGGAAAGACCAAGCCATGGTAAAAAGCCTAGAGTTTTCAGCTCCCACGTCCATCCTGAACCTCCCCAGGAGGGGAGAGGGGTTGGGGATTAGAATCCATCATGGCTCCATGATGAAACCTTTATAAAAAACAAACCATAAATGACAGAATGAGAGCCTCAGAGCTGATGAAGGCATGGAGGTGCTGGGCACGTGGCCGGCTGGCTATGGCATGGAAGCTCCTCATCCCCAGCCCCATGCCTACCTTGCCCTGGGGATCTCTTCCATTGGCTGTTTCTGACTTAAATCTATTTATAAACCAGTAAATGAAAGTCAAATGTGTACCTGAGTCCTATGAGCCATTCTAGTGAATTATCTAATCAGAGGAGGGGGTCTTTGGAACCCCTGATTTGTAGCTGGTCAGTCAGAAGTAAGGGACTTGTAAGTGGTATCTAAAGTGGGTTATAGGGGATCCCGGGGTCGCTCGGCGGTTTGGCGCCTGCCTTCCACCCAGGCCCTGATCCTGGACACCCGGGATAGAGTCCCACCTTGGGCTCACAATGCAGGCAGGTACTGAGAAAATGGTGAAAACTGGCCTGCAATCCCACCAGTAACCCTTGGGAAGGAGGTGGTGTGTGTCCATCCCTCCAGCATGTAGTGCACGCTATTCCCCCATTTCTCCATGCTCTTAATCTGGGACCTCAGAGTACACACATGCAGCAGAGATATTTGCAGAATAAGCTCCGTGGTGGGGGTGGGGGTGGGGTTCCTCTGAGCTCTCCTCCTGCACATTCCTCCACTCCCTCCCTAACTGGAACTCCGGAGCTGGCCGGAGGGAGCCTTCTAGGAGGAAACAACTTCCAAGCTAAGGACTAGGAGATGAGAAAGATGCCACGCGTTCATGAGATCCGGTCGGATCAGGACGTCCTGCAAGCCGCAGAGACGTGGCGTGCAGGTGAGTGGAAGCAGAACCGGCGATAGAGAGAGCACCTGGAGCCATAGGGCACCTGGAGCTGCGGTTGCAGCGACGCTTGAGAGGCACCTGATGCTGCGAGGACACCCGGAGCTCGGGAAGCACCGGCGGTGGAATGTGCGTCCACAGTCCGGGGACTAGCCCCGGAGATCCCCGCGGAGTCTCTTTCTCTGTCTGCTCGACGGCTGGCTGGAGGGTCCGTCCCGGTAGGAGACCACCACCGGGACTCGGGTCCACCCCTGTGGGTACCAAGCCCTCCCTCCGCAGCTGGAGCCCGCCGGCTGGAGCGAGTTCTCCGGGCCGCAGATGTGGGTCAAGGGCAAACAGGGATCACAGGAGGAGAAAAGGGGCCTTACTGGGCGTGAAGAAGGAAAACTGTTGGCAGCGGTGGGATTCGAACCCACGCCCCCGAAGAGACTGGAGCCTTAATCCAGCGCCTTAGACCGCTCGGTCACGCTACCGTTCCTGCCGCCACGGGGCCCCTAGGGGGCCCTAGAGACGGACACCGCCCCGCCCGAGGCCCCGCCCCGGGCCCCGGACCCCGCCCTCGAGACCCCGCCCCGACGGAGCCTCCGCCCCCGACCGCAGCGGCGTCCCGCTCCCGCCCTGCGGGGGGGGCGGGGAACCCCACCGCACACGCGACGGCGGCGTCGCATCCCTATGTCGTCACCGCGCACGCCGGCGGGGGGGCGGAGTCGCCCCCCTACGGCGGCGCGGGCTCCCGTGTCGGGAAGCCTGGGACCTCGAGCGGGTGCCGAGGAGCTCGGTATGGTGGGCGCTCCGGGTCGGATGTACGGTCGATAAAGCTAGCAGCTGCTGTTGCGCTTTGACCCGCTCTTCGTCCTCCGTGGTCCACTGCTGAAGACCGGCCCAGACCCGCTCGTGGACGCGGCAGCTGATGCCCCGGAGCCCCGGACCGTGCCCTGTGCCCTTGAAGCCGGAGCCTGGTGCCCTCCCGCCCACCCCACCGAAGGCTGTGAGGGAGGGCGGACCATTCCCCCTCTTCCCTCCGCCTCCTGCCAGCGACCCGGGATCTGGCTGAGCCTCTCGTCTCCGAGGTCAGCATCTACGGGCATCTCCTCCGTCTCACAGGCCTCCTCCTCCTGTGAAAGCTCCTTAGGAGGTTCAGCCTGGTTCACCTACCAAGTAAGCCGGAAGGCCCCTTTTCAGACCCCTCCCCGGAGCCCCCAGGCTACCACGGAAGCCCTGCTGATTTTGCCTGTCTGTGCCTGCAGAGTGGTGTTTGAGAGAGGCCCGCATAGACTCGGCTATGACCAGATGGCTCTAAGGAACCGACTGGGACTAGCGAAGCCCCTTAGAAGTGTTGGCTGGCACCTTGCTTACAGTTCTGCAGCCGCACGCTGTCCCTGACGATGTTTATCCACCTGTAGAGGAAGAAACCATTCCCGATGGCTGAACCCTGGGTTTTCACACTGGATGACAAGACTCCCTCCCACCAGAGCTAGGAGCTCCCTTACCCCCAGCCAGGGATGGGGCCTCTTGTTATTTTAAGCTGCGGTTGAAAGTAGACATCACCTACAATATAGCATTTTAACCACTTATATATGTGTACAGTTCAGCGGCACTAGGTAGATTCACATCCTGCTCATGGCAACGTGTTGAGTAAGGGATGGATGGGCAGGGCTAGGTAGGGAGACATAGGTAGGGAACTGTGGACTCAGGTTCACAAAACAACGTCCCAAAAAATGTGAGATGTAAGAAAACCAAAAATATGGGAACTAGACCCCCCTGCCCTAGGTGGAAACGATACTTTTTATGACAGTTACCTGTGACCAACAAAGAATAACCAGACCCAAAAGGAAAAGGAAGTCATTAAGGATGATATCACCCATCCTTACTCAAACCACGACATCACAAGAATGATAAGGCCACAGGCTCCCTGGTCAGCTTTGTTTTTTTAAGATTTTATTTATTCATCTGATAGAAAGAATGCACACAAGCAGAGGTGCAGCAGAGGGAGAAGAAGGCTCCCCACTGAGCAGGGAGCTGGAAGCAGGGCTCAATCCCAGGACTCGGGTCAGGACCTGAGCTGAAGGCAGATACTCAACTGACTGAGCCACCCAGGCGCCCCTCCCTGGTCAGTTTTAAATCAAAGACTGTCAGTGGGGGCCACCTAACCGACTTCAGAGGGTCAAACATGCTATACAGCAGCCTTGTCCAGGGGAAGTCCAACAGTGTTGGAAAATTTCTAAGCATAGACACCTCTCCTGTAAAAACTGTTGCTGAGTCTTTCTGCAGGTTCTGAGAGAGATTATTTCCTCCACCAGGAACCGGAGCGTGGCCGCAGCGATGAAAACACCAAATTCTAATCACTAGACTAGCAGGGAAGCTGACCAGCTGGTGTGCGAACAAGCCTACAGGCTGGATGCACCTGGGCCCTGCCCACCAAGCACCTGCAAACCGCTCACCTGGGACCTCGTGGCCCACACCCACCCACAAGCCAGAGTCCCATGGACCCCATCCAGGATGAGGGCAGTGACTGCTCCCAGGACAGGTCTTGGGACACAAGTCTGCGGCTGCCACCTTATGGCCCTCCTGGAGTGGCAAGTATCTGAGAGGAACACTGTCCTCCAATGCATCTTGGTTCTCTCAAAGGGCTCTACGTGGTGTTGAAGTAAATACTCCCTAAGTCGGGAATACAAAGAGCTCAGTGATAAAGCTATCTTTTTTTACGCTAGAGTCTGAGTACTAGGCCAAAGTAGCTCAGTTGGGAGCGCAATGAGCTGAAGACTTCACTAAGACACCTGGTTCAAACCCGGGGCTTGGCAGGAAAGGGCAACCTCTTGGAGCTGAAATAATGAAAACTCTGAATTTGTCTGCAACAAATACAAAAATATTCGTTAAACCTAAAAAAAAAAAAAAAGTTAGGCTTTTGCCGGAAAAAAAAAGGGAAAACACAGGAAATTTGTGTGATAAAAGGATGGTTCCAGGAAAAGAATCCTGGAGAGAACCGTGCAAGAGACAGAGCCCAGCCCAGCGGGCTGAAGGAGAAACACTTCCTTTTTTGTGAGAGGCAGCATCTTTTGGCTCCGGCTCTGCTCCAGACTCACCCTATCTTCCTCCGCATGGAGGTCTTCCAACAACCGGGAGCCCAAGTCAGGAGGCCCAAAGGATTCATGCCTCTTTCTACCGTTCGTTTCTACATCATGACTCCCTTCCCCAGTCTCATTCTCTGCCAAAGGGGGCGGTCCTCCAGGTAGATAGGGGAGAGAGAAGTTCAACATGAGGGATGTTGAGGGAGCAGAAGGCTAGCTGAGGACAAGGCACGAGCTGACACCCTGTGACCTCCCCCCTGCCCCCAGGTCGGGTGTGTGCGACCTTCCTCAGGTGCTCCTGGCTGCCCTATAGCTAAGGGAGGGAAAACACATAGTTGACTTAGAATTCTGCAAGACAGGAGTCTCCCTCTGTTTGCAAATGGCTTAGTGATTTACAAGAACAAAGCATTTTTATGAATAACCTAGCTTCCAGAAAGAAATGTAGATACAGGGATCCCTGGGTGGCGCAGCGGTTTGGCGCCTGCCTTTGGCCCAGGGCACGATCCTGGAGACCCGGGATCGAATCTCACGTCGGGCTCCCGGTGCATGGAGCCTGCTTCTCCCTCTGCCTATGTCTCTGCTCTCTCTCTTCTCTCTCTGTGACTATCATAAATAAATAAAAATTAAAAAAAAAAGAAATGTAGATACAATTAAATGCCCTTATCACCTGCAGCTCATTGAAGATACTTGAAGGGGGGGGGGGGTTGAGGGGAGTGTCCTGTTCCTCCGGGAAGCTCCCAACTGTCTTGTGAATGCCTCGCCAGAGGGAAAACCAACCTTGGCTTAACAATGGCGAGGCCTCCAGAATCTGTAGGTCCTCTTTAGTATATAAAAGTTTTCTTGAAAACCTCCCTCTTCCTTACCTCCCCCAGCTCCCAAGTATATAATCAGCCACCCCCTCACTGTCCAGGGATGCAGCACTTCCTGCCCCCAGGTCCTGTCCCCAGGCTTTAATAAAACCACCATATTGCACCAAACACATCTCAAGAATTTTTCTTGATCACCGGCTCCAGACCTCACTCCACCAAACCTCATCTACATTCCAAAACTCCATCACTATAGTGACATGTTATTCCCCACCTCACATTCCTTCAGCAAATATGTATTGAAGACCAGAGATCCCATGCAGCTCTGAAGAGCAAAAAGGGCAAGGAAAGGTTGCTGGCCTGGAGAGGGGTTCTGGCTGGAGGGCTGCAAGAGGGGGCAGCCAGCACACTGCCCTGGCCTCCCTTAGCCCTCCGCCTACTCCTAATCTGCTGGCTCTGCACACATCCCAGGCTTTGCCTTCCTGCTTCAAGGAAAAGTTTTCCCTCATTTCCAAGACTGATTAACACTCCGTCTGATCTTCTGACCCTCTCCCCATTCCATTCTGCCCCGCGTCTTTGAGCTCTCACCCTTACCTGCCTCTCTTCAAATTACAGAATGCCTAAATCTCCATCTTGAGACAGTGAAGACCCAACACATGTTCTCCCATCTTGCCCTCAGGATTCTTGTCCAGACTTTCCCTCCACCCACCACCAAACTTGCTGGAAGAGCAGCATTTGTCTCGACTTCTTTGCCTCAACAGTGGCTCATTAGCTGAAGTCTGCCTTCCAATCCAGGAGAGTATTACCTCCACTTCCCAACCTTCACATGCCGTGCTTCTTCTTGGTCCTAAAATTAATGGCAGCCCTTCCTTCCTGGAGCAGTCTTCCTTTATTTCTTGGGACTCCACTCCTGCCATTCTGTCCTCTTTCCCTCTTGTAAGGACTCTTTAGAGATGGCTTACTTCTCAGCTCCTGACCTCCATCTTCTTTAAATTAAATTCCTAATTGTTAGACAACTGTAGATTCACATGCAGTTATAAATAATACACAGAGATCTCAACAAGGCATCCTTTACCTAGCTGCTGCAGCGGTGACAAAATATTAGTGCAGTATCTCTCGCAGGATACTGATATTGATAAAATCAAGATAAAAACATTTCCATCACCACAGGGATCCCTCATAATGTAGTTTTGGAATATAAGTGAGGTTTGCTGGAGTGAGGTCCAGAGCTGACGACCAAGAATTCTTGAGACATCTTTGGTGCAAAACAGTGGTTTTATTAAAGCACAGGGACAGAATGGGTGGGCAGAAAGAGCTGCTGCCCCAGGACACTGAGGGGAGGCTGATAATATACTTGGGAGTTGGGGGAGGTAATGAAAAAATGGAAGTTTCCAAATGATTTTTGTATGGTAAAGAGGACCTACTAGAGGCCTTGCCATTGTGAAGCTAAAGTTGTTTTTCCCTCCAGCAAGGCATTAACATTAATATAGTCAGGAGTTTCCTTCCAGAAGTTAGGTTATTGCTAAGAATACTTTTTTTCTTGTAAATCACTAAGACATCTTGTAAACTGAGGGGGACTCCTGTCTATAGGACTAATAT